TTGGGTACAAGTTAATGTGCTGTTTTTCTAATCCTCACACCAGTATCTCTGTTCCAGTGCACAAATTATTTATTGGTTTCATACGATGGTTTAAATTTGTGCTTTTGACTTCAAGACAACTACATAAGATTAATTAATCGTCCCTTAATTGGCTAGTTCTTTAAAATCCTCGGTGCCTTTTCTCCGTTATCTTTACTTTTTTATTTTGGGTGTTATTCAGGCCTTTATGCTGAAGAGAGCGTCTGAAGAACCTCTAGGTCATGCGGCTGCAATAATCACTGACGTGCTAGAAAATGCAGAAACAAACCAAGTAATCAATGCTTCACAAAAGCGAGCTCTTCTTCAAGAAATGGCGCTGAGGCTGACTTAGACGCCTTCTTTCGGAGATTTTGTAGCTGCCGTTTTGAATGTGTGTGTGTGTGTGTTTGTGTTGTATACTTCACTTGTTCTTCCTTTTCATTTGTAAGCATCATAGTATGAACTTCCTGCTACTTCCGAAGCAGGCTTTTATACGAATATTATATTTTTACAGAAGAGAGAGAATGAAAATCAAATAGCTTGCTGAAACAAATCATGTGATTAAGGCTTCACAGAAGCGAGCTCTCCAAGAAATGGCACTGAGGATGTCCTACGCTTCTTCCCATTTCCACCTACCAGGGGTTTTTTTGGCTGCTCTTTTGAATATATATATATATATATATATATATATTTATAGGGCATATATCAAGTTGCTTAAGTCAAGTATGTCAAGTTAGCCCATCAAATTATGTCAGCTGTATCATTTTTACATATAATCATTTAACCCCAAAACGACTCTTGAACCCCGTTAAAACAAGTCTAGAAAAAAATGTTTTTTTTTCTTTTCAAATAAAAGACAGACCTTTAAACTTTGTGCAACTGTGAAGAAAGGCCGTGATCGTGAAAGAGAGCATACGGCAGTCAAGGACAACAAAGTAAAAATTTGCAACGGCCATTAATGCACAAGCTCGTGAGTAGAATTGGTAGTGACTCGAATTGGCGGCAACGCAATCAATGAAGGAGAGGGTGCGCGAACTGGTTTTATGGGCTATGAATTGCTTTTTGACTTAGAGAATTTATCCATCATAATCATATTCCCTTGCGCGCCTTTTCCAAATAGTTTTGAATTGTTTTTTAGTTTGATTTCATATATTGATTGAATCAATCATAAATCTTCATTGTGTATCTTCTTATGCCGTTGAAATAGAATTAAAAAAAAATGAAATGGAGGAAACACCATTCGCTTGTTACATTTTTTAATATGGAGAAATAAAGTGTGTATGAATTAGTGACTGCAGCTGCTTGGAGATATAAGAAATTTGATGGCGTTTAGAAGAAAAGATGTTTTTGGTCACTGAACCCAAAAAAAAAGATATTTTTTCAGCCTTATTTTAATGGTGTTTAAGAGTTATTTTGGGGTTAAATGATGATATGTAAAATCAATGTGGCTGGCATAATGTGATTGGCTAACTTGACATAGTGTCTGTTTGGGTCAGTGTTTATTGGCCAAACATGACTTAAATTTGAAGATAAGCCCGATTGAAGATTTGTTGATGTTTGGTGGGGTATATAGTATATTAGGTTTATTGAATTTTAAGCTCTCTCACCGTGCGGTTGGAATAAGTCAGGAGGAGGGAGCTTATTTTCCAATCTGAAAAGCTTATAGATCACCGTTCTGTAAGTGTGTCAGCCCTCTTTATTTTTCTCTCCCTTCTGTCATTATTCCCACGTGAGTTCACTTTTTTTTTTTTTTTTAGCCCAGACCTCTCACCCACGAGCTCTGCCACCTCACAAAGCGACCCTCTTTTCCGCTTGATTCTCCCACCTCCATTAACTCGTCACTTCAGCTCTTAACTGCTTCAGGTGAAAAAAATGTCGACAGGAATAAAATTGCCCGGTGTGATTGCTCCAGATGCTCAGCGAAGCTCCAAATTTCACTGCTTTGGTCCAATCTTGATGTCCGATTGTCAGGTCCATTTTAAGGGATGAACCTGCAAGTGGAAAATGGGAGAAATATGAGAAACCGGTGTCAATAATCTTTGAAATATTTAAAATATTTTTATGATTTCTCTAAAGTTTTCAAATTTAATTCACTCATTATATTATTTCAATTTTTTTTATGTTTCATTTTATATTTAAAATATTTTTTAATGATTTATTTAAAGTTTTAAAATTTAATTCACTCATTAAATTTGACTTCTTCATATTAAATTATTTTAATTTTATTGTATTATGTAAAATCATTTTTTTAATCATGTTTCATTATTTATTAAAACTCATACTCATTTTGATCATTTTACAATCAAACTTATTTTTACTTAATCATAATCCAAACAACTTTTTACTACTCTTACTTTTACAAACTAACTTTTCTAAACTCAAATCCAAACATAATTCAGTTTATCCAATTTAACTTTTACCCAACTTTACTTTTTCAGAAATTAAATTGATAATAAACTACTTTTCTAATTCCTAATCTAAACAGACCCATATTTGACTTAAGTAACTTGATATAAGCTTTGTCCACGTATACATACATATATATTGTGCCTCCTGTCTTCTTCCTTTTCGCTTTTGAAACTTTGGTTGCCAGCCATTTTCGTTTTTGAAACTTAATTGCCTGAACACTGTAGCTTCTGGAGCGGGCTATTAGGCGGACCATGTATTTATGAAGAGAGTGAATCAAAATCAGATAGCTTCTAAATCCATTGGCATTGAAATCATATAGCACCTCCAGTTATTTGTGCCACGACATGAGCTGCGAGAAGCGCTTGTGTCTCTTGCCCATGATTGTATTATTCAATTTCTATTTCGAAATATAATTTAACAGAATAACTGTTGTAAGTTGGCAGAAGCTTGTAAATAGGAACATTTAAATTTCCACTCTTCAAGTGAAGTACGAATGCAATTCAAAATTTTCATATCCGACTGCTTCTGGGGAAGCTACAGTTTGCAGGTTGTAGTGAAATATAGCAACGAGTACTTCCTTGTCACCGAGGTTACAAGCGACCAATGCTGTGATATACTACCTCCGATCTTAATTATAAGATCTTGTTTCTAGTCTACAAACGAGACCTTGTAATTAAAATCAGAGGTAGTGGCTCAGGAACACTCTTGACAGTTTATAATTTATTTCCCTCCTCTTTCCTCGTTATCTAATTTGACAATCTGATGAAATTACCTTCATACAATTATTGGCGCCTCATCCTTTATTAATTCACAAATACGATCGCCTACTTGCTAACTCCATCAGTTTCTCCGTGGTTCCCCAGAAAACCTTGCTTCACCTTCATCCATAGCCGTGCAACGAAACCTTTAACTCTTGCTCGCCTCCTACACGATCCTTTTTCCGCCGCTTTCTGGCCAGAAATGCTCCTCGGAGTCCTCGCGCTCTCCTTATAGATTCGATTCAGCTGGTGACGATACAACGGAGAATTTAGCCGGAAAAAGTATGTCGGCGAGGCAGCGTTAGAGCCTTGAGCAGCCTTCTTCATCTTGTCTCTCATCTCATGGTAAGCTGGGCAGGAAGAGGCTTGCATCACCTTATTGAGCTGATGAGTCATTTGTGTCAGCTCAAATGAATCATACAAGTCACTGCCATTATACTGAGTTTTGATTCTCCTCGTAGGACTAGTAGCTCCTACCTCTTTCTCTGGAATTTCCATGGAAGTATCAAGTTACATTTATACGATTGGCAAATCTTGCCCAAAATATCAAAGTCCAAACTTGCAGTTCCACTCTCGTGTATTGTATTGCGAGGTTTAAAAGTTAGAATAGACTAATCAAGTATTGGGCAAGTTAGTTGCCTTGTAAGCAACGCGGTCAAGTGCGTTTCTAGCAAGGAGATTTTGCTTTGCTTTCCACGTTTCCCTACGTGGCCATGTTTTATAACGAAGCAACCAAGTACCTATAAAATTTCTTAATCTATGCAACAGTATAAAACCTTAACCAGTGTTCCAAGCCAAACATCTTTCGTGAGAGAGCATATTCTTTCAATATAGAGAGGAAATTGAGGCTTATCAGCATGAGAGAGGAAACAGGGTTAAACAGAAAAGTGCATGGACCGAGGAAGAAGATTCTGTTCTGATTTCTGATAAAAGAGATTAGTATTCATATAAAGAAACGAGGAAGTTTGCTTCTGGAAAAATGTGCATGTGTGACAATCTAGAACCTGGTTATTTGGGTCAGAATAAATTTGGCATGTCCATTTGGTTGCTAGAACTTAGTTATTTGGGTCAGAATGAAAATGAGAATGAGAATGATGTTGCTATCCTGTTTGGTATTTTTGTCGATTAATGTATCCATTTCATTATCAATCCGTATTCCAAGAGTCAAAGCATTTGGCATTGTCGAGCTTTATGGTTCAAATGGTACTAAACATCTCGCTTACATCTTGTTTTTTTTTTTTTAAAACATGAGGTTGTGAGTTCCAACGCTACATACATAATAGTTTAAAAAGACTAAAATACCCCCATTTTCACTTTGACATTGTTTTGCTTCTTATAAGACTGTGGAGATGTTCACTTCAGCTTCAACCAACAAATAATCTCGGGGCTAGATGGTGCTGCTGCTGCAATTTTCTTTATAATTTTTTTGCCAAAAATTTTCTTTATTATTTTTATTAAGTATTGACATACATTTTAAATGGGTACTTGTCATTTTTTAAATTTAAAAATGAGAAATATTTTACAAATAAAATATTTTTACAGTTTAAAGAAATTAAAATTGAATATTTAACTGACTTTTCATAATATAGATAAAAAAGATTTTATATTATTGAAAAATTAATGGCATATATTTTCATTTATTTTCGTGCCAAGAACATTACGATTCACAGTCAAGTTCATTTTTTCCCTCTCTCATATCAAATAAATATGCCCATCTCATTTTCTTCTTTCATTCGATAAATATATGTCACGAACATAACACATTCTTAAAACTGCATGCCAAACCGGGCCTAAATTCCCAATCCGGAGTTGCCCCCAAAAAAAAAAAAAATCCCCACCCGGTGTTTTGTTTCACCATTTCCGACGTTCTTCGTCGTCTCTTCCTCCCTCCTCTTCCTCTTCGTCGGCAGCTGTCCCACGTCGGCCGTCTTCGTTGAACTTCGCTGGCTTTCATTACTCTCCTCTCTTCCGCTGCTCCGTCTAAGTGGTACTAATTTTATTGTTCCCCCTTCTTCGTCTATATGATTAATGTCTCGACCTAAAATCACTGTAGTGATTTTCGTCTTCGTCATTTTCTTTACTCCGTCCATTGGTTCACACCCTTCCAGCCTCCCGTTGATATACTCCAAGTTCACCAGCTAGGTACCTCCTTTTCCATCTGCAATAGCTATGAGTTTCCTTTCTTTAAGTATTCTGCCCATGCATTTTTCTCAAGTAAATGAATTTAATTAAATGTTGAGCTTCTTGTGGCTGGATTGTTTAATATTTATGTTTCTGGATAATATTATGTTTCTTATGGTTTCTGGATTATGATTCAGAATATTTAGAGCTTCTGGTTTACATTTTGTGTTTTTTTTTTTTTGGTTTTGGCTGGAATATATCCTGTTAAATCGTTAACTTGTTTATTGTATGGCTGGATGTTGATTGAACATATCTCAGGTTTATATATCATGTTTCAACTTAATTTGCGTGTTTAAGAATACTGTTAACCTGCTTACATATTGTGGCGGGAATACATTCTGCGCCCCCTCCCCTTTTGAAATATATGTTGCATACTTGTGCTTGGGTTGCTTCAGCTCTACCTTTCGATGATGGATGCATTATCGCTTAAAATCCTCTAATTGCTTTCCCTGCAGGAAAAATATTGAGAAGACCTCAGTTCCTGAAACTGAAGACTGAATTCTTGAATCGAAGTATTGGAAAAAGCCAAAATTTTGACAAGATTTAGAAACCCTGTTTTACATTTATGAGATGTGCTTTTTTAATTTATGTTTTTTTGGTTGTACATAAATAAGGTGGATTAGCTTGGCCCTAGATTTCCTCTGAAACTCCCATGGATGCCAAGGACATCCTTGGTTTGCCCAAAACCTCCTTGCCAATTCAAGAGAAAAAGTCTAGGCCCCAAAAAGATTCACAGAGAAAACCAGATGGCATTTCACGGGAGGTATGCAATCCGCATTTGTTTATGTTTATTAACACAATTTATGTTCATTTGCTGAAGTTCTGTAAATCTTTATCGGGGTGTCTGTAGGTATATGCACTCACTGGTGGTTTGGCGCCTCTTATGCCTGCAATTGATTCGTCTCAATTAAAGAAAAGGCCTCCATCTGACGAGAAGGTTCTTTCATTTGATTTTCTTCAGCTATTTGTTATATGCTTTAACTTTTGTTGGGAGAAATGTTTCGTATGCATCATTTGGATGCTTGAAGTATTCTAGAAGCACACTGATGGTTTCAGCTTAACTCATATTTGAAGTGGTGTTGCTTTCTAGTTTTCTCAAAGCCATGGCAATATACATAATTCTCTATTTTGAGCATAGCATGCAAATGTAGTCTGTGCTTTCAGGTGGTTGTACTTTTAATACGTTATTTTTACAATTGAGGAAGGAGCTATGCTATACAAACATAAAAGAAAACTTTGTGATGATGGTAAATGAGCAAACTGAGGACATCTGACCTTCATCTTCTATTTTTTACTCTATAGGTTGAGCTCTTTGTTTTGCTTCCAAACGATCAAGTATGCTGTAAAAACATTTAAAGGAAAAAATGCTAATAGATATGAGCAAATCCTGCAAAATGTTACCTGGTTTTCATACTTTATATAATGCCTTTAGTCGACTATAGATATTAAGTTATGTGTCATTACTAATTATTAAATGTTCGGGATTCTTCTGTCAGATCACTTGGCAGTGGCTTCCTTTCGCCAATTCTGCTCGTAAAGATAATCTTCAACTATACCATTGGGTAAGATCTATATCTTTTTTTTTTTTTTTTTAACCCCGTATAATCTTATACCGGTTGTGAGCTCTGAAAATGTTATTTCATTGTCTTGTGTTGCAGGTCCGAGTTGTGAATGGTCTTCCACCCACTGGGGACTATTCTTTTGCCAAGTATAACAAGGTAAATGCCTGTGCACACTTAAGCCGTGGCCTGTGGGCCATGATTCCATGAGTGATTTTCTTTAAAAACCATTTCAATTATTGAGTTCGGCATCTTTATTCATATTGGTGAATGCTAGTTAATTTGCCGTGGTGCAGTCTGTAGACATTATCAAATACACAGATGAGGAGTATGAGAAGTATCTGACGAATCCAGTAAGCTTCATGCTCGAGTAGAATGTATCTGTGCTGTTCAATATTCTATCTTTTGGGTTATTCTGATGATAATGCTACAAATGATGCCAGTTGATAATAGTCTTACGACTTTTTTTTTTTTAATAAATTTAAAATGATTGTTGCCTTGGGATTTTATGAACATGCAAAATTTAGCCTGGACTAACTTCATTCTTAGGATTGTAACCTTTTCTTTTTCCTCGTCAATGTACATGTATTGTGGCCGAAGAGGGAGGCAGATTTGATGCCATTTATTGTATCTGGATATTGTTTTTACTTCTTTTGTTATCCTTTATTTCACCTTTGTTTTCTTTTTTTTTCTTTTAATCCTTTAAGAGTCCAAGGATATTAACACTAGAACAGTGCATCCTACATCTTTCTCTTTCATGATGCGTAAAGCGTCCTGCACTCATCTGTTGTATTTCAACCACGCAGATGTGGACCAAGGAGGAGACGGATCAACTCTTTGACTTGTGCGAGAGGTTTGATCTTCGGTTCATTGTGATAGCTGACAGGTTCCCATCATCACGAACTGTAGAGGAATTGAAAGACCGATACTACAGTGGTACTTGTCAATTTATTGATTGAACTACGCTGTGTTGCTTGCTTGCTGCCCATTGGATTCATTTTCAAATACGCATCATAGCTTGAGATTTATGTTTTAATTGGATGTTTATAGGCTATATAAGTGGAATTTAATATTTAATTTAATTTTGATTTTCTTGATTATTGTCCTGTAGTATCTCGGACTCTGTTAATTGCTAGGGCTCAATCTTCCGGGGATGTTGCAATGCATCCTTTAGTTAAGGTACATTAAACTTAAATAATACCTCTAGGGATTTATTACTTTGTTTCCTTTTTGAGCAGACTTTTCTCTATAAAATGAAACTTGAATATCATGACACCATATGAACCTAGCTTTTGTTCATCTGTCTCTTTGTAGGAACCATACAATGTTTCACAAGAGGTTGAGCGGAAACGAGCACTGTCTATGTACCTCTCTCAAACAAAGCAACAAGAGCGAAAAGATCAAGAGGTTTTAACTTATCCATTTTTTTTGAATTATTCGTTTATGTCAAGTTTGCGCTAATGTACTTAATTTTATGTAGGTTCTTGCTGAGGCAAAAAGAATAACTGAATCACGCATGCCTGCTAAGGTCCTAATCCTTTTTTGTTTTTTTTTTTTAATTTTTCTTTCAATTCTGAATTTTCATTTTATTACAAGTTTCTACATGAATTCTCCACACATTTATGCCTTTGACAGTTGATATAATGTGCCTGATTTCCTACATGTTTAGGTTGCTGAAGAGTCTGAGGCTGCTGCTGCATCAAATGCTGGTGCGGAAGAGAGAGCTGTCTCCGGTGATCCTCCATCAAGTGTTCAGCTTCCATCAACGGTTGTTCCATCCACAACAGCAGATAATGCAGCCACTCTTGCTTCCCTTCGCATGGTAAGCAAATGCTCCCCCACCTCTGTTCACACAGTCCTGATAACTTTCGTAAGAGTCAGTTTTTAACATTCTGTTATTCGTTTTTACTTTTGTTGTCTGTTATTGACATTATAGTCTAACACTGAGAATTATTTCAGCTTCGTGTGTATCTAAGAACATATGCACTTGAGCAAATGGTCCAAGCTGCAAGCTCATCTGCTGGACTACGGACCATCAAACGGGTGGAACAAACACTACAAGAACTTGGGGTTTGTTACACTCCCTTAACAGTGCAATACATCTATTTTATTACTCATGCAGTCATGAAAATGCCATGTGCCATTTTCACTCAAACCTGATTATATGAATATTGCAAGTTAGTCAGGTTACACTTTAGTGGATTTTCATAATAAACTTTGTACGACCATCTTCATAATTATTGGTTTTCTTAGACATTGCTTTTGTAACTTTGTCCTTGATTTCAGGTTAATTTAAAACCAAGGGTTCCAACCAAAGCTGTTTGTGCAGAACATCTTGAATTAAGAAAAGAAATACTAACTCTGCTCAATCTTCAGAAGCAGGTATTTGTTATCGTCCATAGAAGGGTGATTGGCCGTTATGATTTCTTATAATTAGATGAAGATAAGCTTTCTCATCTTAAAACGCCAAAAAGGTTGAAATTGATTCTTCATTTTAAATTTTAATCAGAAATGTCAGCAAAGGCTTCGTGTCTCTAACTTATTTGTTGATTTGTTTCATTTAATTGCTTGTGACCTATGTGTTTCAGCTGCAGTATAAGGAGGCAGAAGGTCGTGATGGTTCATACACTGAAACACCTGGCACACCGAAGGTTAGGAAACTAGTTTTTTGGGGGGCTACTTCTCTCCATTTGTTTCATTGTATTGATTTTGTGATTTTCCAAGCACACAATTCTAGTTCCAAACCTAGAATTAGTGATAGTGAGCATACTGACGGTGTTTAAATCATGTTGGGGATCAGGATAGGACATTTATTCCAGATTCTATGAGTTTTGGAGGTAATGTGTTAGTTTTGGGCCACCTGCTACCTTCTGTTTTATTAATATCTTAATTTTTGAAGCCATGCTTATAACTGTGATTTCAGGTGAGAGGATTGGTAAGAGGGACCAGAAACGCAAGGTGCGGTCTTTTTTGTCTTGCTTGGATTTTAATCATTTTTTTCCTGTATGGATCATTTGCATATTGCGGCACATTGATCCTTGAAACTGTTTTAAATTTTTCATATAGGCGCCTGGGAGGATATCAGAAGCTCCATCATCACCGGCTCAGTCTAAAAGGCCTAGAAAACTGAAGGCATCTGATCTATAGTCCGGTGGTAATGAATCAAAGTCTAATTGAGAAGAGAATACAAGAGGGCTTATAGCAATTGTCATCCATTTATCATTTGAGATCTATGCATTAAAATAAAGGCTATTCCCATTTGCATTTCTTTTTCGTATGAACCAGCATAAGAAAGCATGATATTTCACCGGATTTACTGACTTATGTTGTGCTGTTGATTGTCAGGTGTAATGGGAGAATATAGAGTTACAGAATTCTGCTAACGAGGATGAGGAATGCAGGGTAAAGTAGGTGTAAGCTCATGGCCCAGAAATTCAGAATTTCCAACTGAAGTACTTTGTTTCCTTTTGGGCTGTTGCCGGTCACAGTATCTAGCGTAAGATGGAGCACAAATAGTGATGGAAATTCTGGGTTCTTCTAACTTTTAGGTACCTCGTGAGCTTAACTTTATTTTTATGCTGGCAAAGCTTTGTACGGTTGTTAGGTTTTTCTGACCAAATTGTCATTGAGAATTTTTATGTAAATAAGCATTCAGGTGAGGATTGTTCGAACAAATATAGGGCCTCTAAAAAACATGTATTTGTGCCTCGTGAATGGATTCATATCCTAAACTTCTTCAACTAATCGAAGGCTGATATTTGAATGAAACTGTGAATGGATCGCCAGTCAAAAGTAATTGTGATTCGTGATTGTTAATAACTTCCTTTGCATGGTGAATATCCATGGCCTCAGCATAGGGTAAGAATATTAATTTTTCCTATTTTCATCATTATTCTTTAATTTTTTTCTATGATAAAAATATTAAAAATGAGTACTGAAAACGTTTGAAGACTAAAAAAATGAATATGGAAAAAATTAAATATCACGGAGAAGATCAAACATGAGTATTAAAGATCGCTGAAAAGATCAACCATGAGTAATTAAAAATTAAAAGCGTAACTTGAAAAATTAGCAAGTCCCTTTTTTTGAATCTTTCTTTTTTTTTTTTTGGGAAAAAAAATTTATGAACGCTTAGTCTCAGGTTGAAAGATTTTCGTTTCTTTTCAGACAAAAGAAAATGAATGAGAAAACGGCAGGAATCTAATAAATATATTACCTCCAATTCTTAATATAAAATTTAGTTTGATTTTCAATTTGATACTAAATATAAGATTATAATTTATTTTGTCTCTAATATTTATCTATTTTGTCCTTAAGTAATTCTTATAATAGTTGCATATGTTAAGGAATTATTATCAATGGATAACTCAAACCCAAATAATTAATAAAAATATTTTAGAAAAGACATTTATTTATTACAAATAGATTATATATGGATTACAGGGTAGAACTATACAGTCTTGTTCTTAATGAGATGTGTGAATTCTCGTCTTCTAGTGTTTTAGTGAGTTTATTTGCAACTTCAGGATTGAAGTTTGTTGTCCTTGACTCCTTGTTGGTTAGTTTTTTTGTTAGATTGGTGACTGTAATCTTGTTTACTTTAAATGAATGAATACTTCTTCTGGTAAAAAAAAAAACCGAAGTGCAAATTAATCATAATTTAAAAAGCAAATTAGCGGGATTTTTTTTTTTCCCCGCGGGTTTTTAATGCTTCCACTTAGCCGGGCTGGGATGCCCTTCCATCGTCCGATCGTCTTCACATATCTTAGTTGCCCTGCAACGAAATAGATACGGAATGCCTCCCTGAATATCCAGAGAAGAAGGAAGAATATGCAATCGCTGCTTGCTTCGACTTGGAGCTTTTCCTTCTCCCACCCCAACCTCCCTCCTCGCCATAAAATATCCACACCTTATCTTCTCAAGCCTCTTTGTGCTCAGAGACAACAAAACACAACAAGCCCTACAACTTCATGGCCTTCCGTGACTCTTTCACTTTTTGGTTCTGGCTTCTTCATCGGCCCCCTTCTTGACGGCCTCCATTCTAGAGTCAATCTCGTTGTGTACCGATCAGGTTCCATTGATATAGGCCCCCTCCACACTAACGTCTGGGTATCGCCTCATTTCTCTTCTCTTCTTTCTGCGATTCCTCCCTCTTTCTCATACCTCTCTCCTCCGAATGCATCTCTCTAGGTTCCTTTCTTGCTGGGTTCGTTTTACTGCGTTCTTGGGCTACTCCAGCTCTTTCTGGATGAACGGGTCTTTAACAACGTTCGAGACGGAAGTTTTCGAAAATCAATTGCCTCTTTGATGTAAGAATCTACTCTGTCATTTATAAACAGGCTAATGTTATGGTTTTTTTTTTTCCCAATATTTTCAAGAACAGTAAAATTTACGTTCATATGATCATATCTGGCCTCAGATTGGTAGCATTATTTATTGAGCTGAGTGCTGAAATTTACAAAGCCGGGATAGCAGACAACACTGAGGCCTACGTACTATTCGCTGCGGCAGAGTTATTATGGTTTTTGTTGGATAGGACATGGCCTGGATTCACACTTGCATGCTTTGTTGGTATTGCTTGCCCACTCGCTGAGATTCCCCTTATGAAGTAAAGCTTTCCCCCTTCCCATTATAATCTCTGTCAAATAAACCATGGAGATGAGCTTTTCTAAAGCATATCTAAGCTTGATTATTTCAGGCTTTTCAACCTTTGGTACTATCCACAAGCCAATATTGATATCCTTGGCCAGGTACTTCATCATCTGCTTCTGTCCAAGTATTCCTTACATTCTCTTCCACGTTTTGTCAAAGACTTAGTTACCTCCTTTCGACCTTAACCCCATGTTTTGATTGATCCAGGGACTAGTTACATGGACGGCCACTTGCTACTTCGTGTATACGTTTTTCTTAATCAATTTATCACGATGGTTCAGAACTGTTTTTACTGCCAACACAGATAAGTCAGCCTAGAAGCATATGCATTGTGTAATGTAATATAACAGTACTTATTGGTTTAATATGATCAATGTTATTGGGCCAGCCCAACAGGGAGCATATTGGGTGATCATCAAAAAGATCATAGATGCTTATCTAGATTGGATTTATTTAGGATGATCCGGATTTAATTTAACTTTTTATATTTTAATGGATACTTAATCTAAAATGAAAACAATTTTATTGCTTAAAAGGTTTTGAATATGAACCATCCAAATTTGCTAAGATCTCATAAAGGGATGAGTACCGAATGTGAACAGAGAAAGAAAAGCAAACAAACATTAAGATTATCAAGAGATTAGGCCAGCAACATATCGGTAAAATGACACCTGTTATTGGATTATAATGACATAGATGAAGCATTTTGAATTGCTGCCAATGACAATATTTCCCCATCATGCTAAGGCCTTAACTTCTGACCTCAATTTCTCCCCAGCTGAATCAGCTAGTGTTGTCTACAAGACAACCCCCCCCCCCCAAAAAAAAAGGGCCAAGAGTAACATTGTATGCTTCGAAAGCTTTAATAATTTTTCGCACATTATGCTGCTAGCTTCCCTCCATGTTTTACTCATTTGCTAAACCGCACACAGTGGCCACTTTATACACAGATCTCTCTCTGTACTAATTCTGGGAGAAAGCAACATTCACAACGTCTGGAAACTTCTCCTTGATGGCTGCTTTGATTCCTGATCCAATGGAGTCAGGCCCCACATACTTCACATAGCACTCCCCTCCTTCCACAGACAATACTTCCACACTGCCTCCATAGTTCTTAATGGCGGGTCTCAGGATATCAAGATGGTTATTCACAGCCTACAATTGCAGAGCAAACCCCAACCAAACCATCAACATTCTTTTTCATATCAACTTGATTCATTTATCAATTCGTGGCAGGAGAAAGAAAAACAAAAACTTACCTCAACAGTTGTCTCTTTCTTTTCTTCATCATATATTTGCTGTATATCCTTCACTGCATCTCCAAATTTCTCCTTCAGCACACGTTCAATTCCCATCTTCATCGTCGTCGTCGAGCTGGGACAACTTTCACACGCTCCTGTTCATCATTACAGGTGCAGGGAAGGCAACATTTCAATACATCATCACTTTGATATGAAACTGTAATTTGTAACCACTCAGAAAGCAATGGTAGGAACAAGTGCTTTTATCTGCTAGACTGCTAAAATCAGTTCTGATTTTCTTCAGAAAGCAAAAAATGAAAAATAGTTCGTATGAATTCCGGATTTAAAGGGGAAAAAAAGGGGAAAAGGAAAAAGGGAAAATGAGAATGGACGCGAAAAGGGACCTTGGAGTCTGAGAGATATAACGCCATCTTTGACGGAGACGACGTCTACGTTTCCGCCATCAGCTATGAGATAAGGACGAACATCTTCGAGAACGAGGTCGACGTTTGAAACGGTGAGATCGAATTTCTGGGCAGAGTATAATCCAGGGGAAGACCCCGTAGGCGCACTTGACTGATTGGAGACGAACGGAATTGTGGTTTTCTTGAGACGGAATCGCGCGGGAGGGAAGAACTTGTTGTGTTCATTGGGCGATAAGAAAACTGGGTATTGATGGGATTGAGCTCTGATTACGCAACCAGCTGCGATTTTCGGAAATCCTGAGGCTGCGAGAGTCGCCATGGTCGAAGTCACGGACGGATTCACAGGTGAATTGAGGAATCGTATTATAATTATAAATATAAATTATTATAGCATAATATTTACATATGTGTATCTGAAATCTGGACGTAGCCTAACTAGATTTTTTCATAAGTTGTAGTTGGGCTATGATACGGGCCTGTACGTCATCAGCCCACTTGCGCATGTTTTAGTATGAGGCCCAAATAATCCGTTCTTTCTTTTCCATTTTAGGATTAACTTTATTTTAAATTTGTACAAATCCAGCGAGGCGTGGAATATCTTTTTTAATTGATTATGAAATTTCCCAAACACTAACTAACAGGAATTGGGTCTAATAAAAAAAAGGTTAATCTGTCAGAATATGGTGAATTAATGCTTAAACTTTTGCTAAAAGAAATGCTTATATTTAACAATATTTTGAATAGAATTGTCTCTAATAAAATTATATATATATATGCCTAAATAATAAAAAAAAACCCAGACACCGCAAACATACAAAGTTAGTAAGAGAACATAACGTATGGTTCAATTTAAGATTGTTTACTCCTATTAGGTTAGGAAGATTAGTTGATATTTTTATTTTACATATAAAAAAGATCATTTCACTCTTGGATGTGTGTGGACGTGTCTTGGAAATTTTCTTGTTCTGGACGCGTAGAATTGGAATTTGGAATATAAGCAATAAGTGACGTTTACCAATGACCTTTTCTCACCAACAAAATGGCGGCATTTGCGGGATTAAAGCGTGGAAAATTGGATCAGGGTGAGACACCTATTGACGCGTCTTTTCTCTTTCCCCCCAAAGGATTAATAGCTGGCTGTTTCTTCTTCTTTTCTTTCTTTTTTCCCCCCTTAAAATTGGTTTCATCTTCTTTCCCTATTCTACCATCAAGCTACAATGAACTTGGATGTGCAATGAATATGTCACTCTTCTAGTCCAAATATATATACTCCTCCGGTCCTTAATATAGGACCCAATTATTGAGTTAGTTTTGGTCCTAAATATAAGACTCATTTCTCATATTTATCAATAATCTCTAAATTACCCTATGGATACTCCCTCAACCATAATCAAGTAGAAGAGGGAGAGGGGGTATTGAGAAAGATGATTATGGTGTTTTAAGAAAAACGTGTCATATTTATTACAATTAACTAACTTACCTAACTTCCTTAATCTGATCAAATTAGTTAAATGGGTCTTATATTAAGAACCGGAGGAGTATATATTACTCTTGGAGGTCTGGGCTACGTGTTTCGCTTTTGAGAGAAGTGTGCTGGAACAAGAGATTGAATAATCACATGTGATTGTGTTTTTAGAAACCTTAATTCTTATTTTGACTAGTTTGCCCATTATGTTTATGAGCCGAATGCTTTTAGAAAACTAATTCTTATGGATTTGTTGCTGGTTTATAGGTCCAGTTGCTAGTTCATTCTTTTATATCGTTTTGTGTGCGCGTGTGTTGTGGACTCATAGTCATAGTTTTAGTTTGATTATGCATTCTCTTTTGACCGGTAGAATGCATGATCAAACGCATCTTGCTTTTCTATATATGTTGGAGAAGTTGGATTTGATTTGGCCTAAGTTCATGCTTCATCATTAGTGTTGAGGTAAAGATTTTTATTTGTTTTTATTTATAAAAAAAAAAGAAATATGCGATTCTCTCTCTCTTCATACCATTAAATAATACTCCCTCCGTTCCTTATTATAAGAGACAAATAACCGAAGTACGTTGATAAAAAAAACAGTTAAAATTAGTTAAGAACAATTAATGTGTAAAAAGTATAACTTTTTTCCAAAAATGCCCTCATTAATAAGGAGAGAGAGCATGAGAGAGAATAATTAAATTATTAAAAGAAAGAGAAGTGGGAGGGAGAGAGAGTGTGAGTTGGAGATAATAAATATGGGTAAAATAGTAAATCAACACAAAAAAGTAGAGACAACTTGTAAGTGTCTCTTATATATAGGAACATGCCATAAGCATCAAATGTCTCTTATAATAAGGAACGGAGGGAGTATAATTTAAAAGTAAAGGTAGATCCACCATGCTGATTTTATTTTCTAGGTATATTCAGCACTCTGATTTTAGTTATAGTGTATTAAGTATCCTAATTTTATTTATAACATATGCACCACTTTAATTATTAGGATGCTGAATATAACTAAAAAATAACATTTGAGTGCTGAGTATATCTTCACTGTAATTTTTAATTGAAGGGATAAATTAAATTGTTAACTGTGAACTGTTATAGAGTGATAAAAAGAGAGGAGAAAAAAAAGCAAGTTACCAAAAAAAAAAAGAGGAAAGAAAGAAAAAGCAGTGTCGTACACCTTTTATCCTGGTAAAGAATTTATTTGCAGCAAATATATATTATTGTTTTGAGAATGCACCACATGTAATTACAGAAAATTCAATAAAAAAACTTAGAAGCTCGAAGTGATGTTAAATGAACTAAAAAATTTTCATGACTTTGTTAATTGGGAGAATCTCCATTATTTTTTTTTCCTGAAAAGAGTTCTCAAGTTTATATATTTTGTCACTAATTCTTATCACCATACTTTTTAACTTATTTTTAAATGCAAATTTCATATACATAAATTCAACTAGAAAAATGTAAAAATAACTTAGAAAAAGATATATCAAATTTGTAAACTTAATTAAAACTTTCTTTGCCAAAAAAAACTCACCTATAATTTCCGATTTCAGGTTGTTGTAGTATTTAAGGATATATGGATTGGTCTTGGAATTTTGATAAGTTCAAGTCGCAGCCTCTTTCTCCCCAGTCAGCGATCACTCTGCTTCCTGTGTTCAACTGTGATCAGCTTTGAAGTTCAAAGAGGAAGCAGATATTTACATTATAGGTACTCTCCAAATTGCCTTCGCTTATCTGCTATTTATTATGATATCTCTCATCTCTGAGTTAACCTATCCATGCATCTAACCAACCTTGCGTGCCAAATCGTATCATCTTTTCATTACAAGAAGAAAACGTAGGAGTATCTGATTTTGGCGTATGTTAAACAATTTTCTGGTCTCTTTTCTCTCGAATTGATATTCTGAATCCGGTCGCGTTTATTTTCACATATAGATCTTGATATTACATCATATAGCAACTATTGTTATGATCTTTGATTAATTTGCTGGACGCTGATCACTTGCAAGTACTCTTGACAGAATGTCAGAGTGAATTTACGAAGTTTACTTCAATTTTGGATCTTCAATCTATTTTCTGGCTTAGACAAGTACAACAAGAAGATTTTTCCTTCCATATCATTTCTTATGGTTGTTCTTATCTTAACGTGTGCGAAAAAGCTGCTTTGAACTTAAAATCACGCCCTTCTAGATTCAAGCAGCAAGGATTTTTTAACGGTTCAAATTTCGACAGCAATGGCCAGTTTTTGAACGCATTAAAAGTAAATTAGTTAGGGTGTGCTTGTAATCGAACGACATTGAAGGAGAAAAATGGAGCTTTGTTGAGATCTAATCGTAGCCTCAAACTCATGTTGCAGGTTGGGCTCGAAACCGAAGAAAATGGTGAAGATTTGTGGAATTGGAGCAGGGTACGTAGGAGGTCCTACGATGGCGGTAATTGCTCTCAAGTGTCCTTCAATCGAAGTAACTGTAGTGGATATCTCGCAGTCTCGCATATCAGCTTGGAACAGCGATCACCTTCCCATTTACGAACCTGGTCTGCAAGAAGTGGTTCAAAAATGCAAGGGCAAGAACCTTTTCTTCAGCACCGATGTTGGAAAGCACGTCTCAGAGGCAGACATAATCTTCGTTGCAGTTAACACACCAACAAAATCCAGAGGCCTGGGAGCCGGGAAAGCCGCTGATCTGACCTACTGGGAAAGTGCAGCGAGGGTGATCGCAGAATGGTCCAAGTCAAACAAGATTGTTATTGAGAAATCCACTGTTCCTGTCAGAACAGCTGAAGCTATTGAGAGAATTTTAACTCATAATAGCAACGGTGTTTCCTTTCAGATCCTCTCAAACCCAGAATTTCTCTCTGAGGGAACAGCCATTGAAGACCTTCTGAATCCTGATAGGGTTCTTATTGGAGGGAGACAAACGCCTGAAGGGCAAATGGCGATTCAGACACTGAAGGGTATTTATGCTCACTGGGTTCCTGAAGATAAAATCATAACGACAAATTTGTGGTCATCTGAGTTATCTAAGTTAGCTGATAATGCGTTTTTGGCGCAGAGGATTTCATCCATAAATGCAATGTCTGCTCTGTGTGAGGCAACTGGAGCAGAAGTTTCAGAGGTGTCACATGCTTTAAGTAAGAACAGTAAAATAGGGTCCAGGTTTTTGAATGCCAGTGTTGGTTTTGGTGGGTCTTGCTTTCAGAAAGACATACTCAATTTGGTGTATATTGCTGAGAGCAATGGCTTAGCTGAAGTGGCGAGCTACTGGAAACAAGTGATTCAGATGAACGATTACCAAAAGGATCGGTTTGTGAAAAGGGTTGTCTCCTCCATGTTCAACACGATCTCAGGTAAGAAAATTGCAGTGCTGGGTTTTGCATTCAAGAAGGACACTAGTGACACAAGGAAGACTCCTGCCATTGATGTTTGCAAAGGTCTTATGGGAGATGATGCATGCTTGAGCATTTATGATCCAAAGGTAAGTGAAGATCAAATTCTGAGGGATCTGGCAATGGATAGTGTTGAGTGGGACCATCCAGTTCACCTCCAGCGAAAGATTAGTCCCAATACTATGAAACAGGTTAGGATTGTTAAGGATGCTTATGAGGCAACGAAGGATGCTCATGGGATCTGTGTTCTTACAGAGTGGGACGAATTTAAGACCCTTGATTATCAGAGAATATTTGATAATATGCAGAAACCTGCGTTTGTTTTTGATGGTAGGAGCATATTGAATGCTGGGAAGCTGAGAGAGATTGGGTTTATTGTGTACTCAATTGGGAAGCCATTAGACCCCTGGCTAAGGGCATGAATGGTGGATTGGATCCTATGAAGGGGCAAATTCTGAATACAAGTTGATGAGTGAAGACGAAGATCTGATCCCTTGAGATTTCATCCCTATAATATCTATACTATATGTTGGGATTTATAGTCAGTCTTTATTGCCAAGAATAAAGTTTTTTTCAGATTTTTTAAAACATTTTCTAAGAGAAGTTCTCTAGCTAATGAAAAACTTGAAGGGTGTGTGCATTGGGTAACAAGAGCATTATAAGTACTAAAAGAAAATAAGAGTTTAAATACAGAAGAATTACACAAAAAAAGCTGAAATTACTAGATACTAAATCAGATTTAGTAACAATACTCTAATAGATTTTGACAATATTAAATTTGGACATAACAATGCATTTTTGTAAAGATTTCTTATTTATAATTTGGTATTTCCAAACTTTGTGTGAAATTCTACCTTCAAATATATCAAAAACCAAATATCCCTGGGAAGGAGTGCTAAGAATCCTAACAGTAGAACTTAGCAAGTCAACCAAACGGTACCTTCATTACTTCTTTAAAAACATCATTAAAGGTCCTCTAATCTTCATGGTGTTAACCGAAGGGCTTGAAAGCATATTCTCTTTATTTTGTTTGACCAGGCCTGCCTTGATAAATCAAAGAAAATGACCTCACTCTAAGGAAACAACGTATTATAAATCAATACATAAATAATGCCAAAAAAATTAATGGATAATTTCATCTAGATGTGATTATTAAAATTTTAGTTAATTTATTGGTAAATTTACCATTTCAAGAAATTTAATCTTTATTATTTATTAAAAAATAGAGTAATTAATTCTTAAAAAATTGTTAAATTTAAAAGTCAAATAATCATCCGCATAACATAATATATGCGCAATTCCAGTTAACGTGATGTATTTGACAATTTCCAAAATAGTATAACATCTTTATCCATTGTGCGTCACCATGTGGTCTCGTAAGTCGTAATTTGCGTGTTGTTTACTGACAGCCTATGGAACCGGAACCGGAAAAAAGAAAACGCGGTTTTTGGACCCCGCCATAACGAACGCCCCTCCTCCATATCACTGGACATTTGACTCTGCTACAGCCTTAATATAGTCTTTTTGGACTTTGGGGAATCTAATCACTGGAAAGCTTCTTCAAATTTTACATTTTTCATATTTTTTTTGGTTTTCGTCCCAAAAATGGGATGCTGCTTCAGCAAAAACGCCGATACAAAGGCTACTAGAGTTTCGCGGTGGCGATCCACCGGAATTGTTGCTTTGCGCGACTCCAAATTGAAGGTAATTGTTTTATCTGTTTGGCCACGGTTTCAATACAATTTAAATTTGCTGTAGTTGCGCTAATGGTTCTGCGGCGTTCTCTCCCTCTCCCTCTCTCTTTTTCTAGTCTGTAATGGTTTTTCCCCTTGCTTGGAGTTTGCCACTCTCTCGTTGTACTGAATGGAACTAACTTGATTGTGTATTTTGATGTGTCATGGGGGATTGTCATTTTGTTCATCAATCTCAGTGCTAGCCTAGTGGCCTCTGTTATGCTGCTTCTCAACTGAATTCGATTTTTTTTTTTTTTTAAAGAAGGGTATTGTCAGGGGTATAAAGTTCTTAAATGAATTATGCCACTGGGTGTATTATATCGTGGTTGAGACTTGAGATTATTGGTTCATCCGCATGGTATTTTCGCAGGATGACGGGTTAAACAGTGTACTTCTAGCAGGTAAATAAAAGAGAATAGGTTTAATGAATTGTTCTCTAATGTCAACTTAATGAGAGTAAGATGCCCGTTAATGGGAATGTGATTGAGTGATTGAGATAAATGGTGTCTGTTGAGGCAGTTCCTTCGCTCTTGAGTATTTTACTGCTTGCTTTCCTCTTATCATCTCTTATTTTTCGTGTCATTTACATTGAAATATGACGCCGAGTCAGAAATTTGTACATTTGTGTTGAACGTCTTCCTTTGGATCATGTATCTTTATTGTTTCAAATGTGCCGCTCTGTAAATTAAGGTTTGTGATTGTATTTTGTTAATCCAATTTTGCTTCATGAAGATATGTCATGAGATGTAATATTCATGACATCTAAAAGTTGGATGAGATCTGGTGTTTTTTTTTTTTTTTCCTTCCCAAAGTCAATGTTTGTTGTTTTGCTTCTTTCTGTTGCTGTTCCTTTTGAATGCATGCATACACTAGAGCTTTTTACCGCATGCTAACCATGGTGCCTTCTTTTCTCATCGGAAAACAGACGCTTCCGGATGAAATTCTTGACCTCGATAGATCTGTGCGCACTCTTGACTTAACACATAATCGAATAGGTATGCTCCTTTTTCTTTTCATTTCCTCCTTTGTTAATATAAAGCAGGGATGAGTCCCAGTTCTGTTAGTTAACAGGGCTTTATTCTAAAGTTGATAGTATAAATTTGACATCTAAGAAAACTGTCTTTTCTTTTAGGATTATTTGTATTGTTTTTTTTTTTTTAACTACTTATCAATTCAATTCTTGAATACAGTTGATATTCCCATGGAAATTAGCAAATTGGTTAACTTGCAGCGCCTGGTAAGAGTTATATTTCCCACTATATGCTTATAACCTGGTAACTGTTTGTGAACATATAGTACTTGCTACACTTTTTGATATTGAAAATTGAAAAAAAAAAAAAAGAAAGAAAGAAAGCTTTTGGACTTTATCTACTTTTTTGATAATTAAGAAGCACTAGAGGAAATTCTTTCCTTTTCCTGAATCAGTATTTCAGCGAATCAGCGTTGTTACTTCTTGTGTTTTCTTAAGAAGTTTAGCTATGAGACTTAGTACTTTGGATCGTTGATTCTTGAATTTGTTTGAAGCATTAACTTTTGAATTTAATATTCTTTTTTGAAAGTCATATGATTTTTGCACATGTTATGCCTGCAAATACAAGATTGCCTTCTATTTATTTCCCCTGGCTAGATAATATGCCATGGAAGCGTTTTATTAAACTGGTTTGTGGACTCTTTACAGAACTGAGGTTATATAACACTAGGTTTGATAAAGAGCATTACTTATCAAAATTGCGCTGACTTTACAGGTGTTGCCAGAAAATCTCATTGAGAGACTGCCAGTGAATTTGGGGAAGCTCCAGTCTCTAAAAGCCTTGATCCTTGATGGAAATCGAATTACTTCCTTGCCTGATGAATGTAATTCCCTCTGTGAAATAAATTGGTTTTTTAAGAATAAAATGATTATCTTGTTTTCTTCATGACATTGGCATTTTCTTAATGGAATGTCTCTTTATTGTCAATCTGTAATTTGTTTGGTTTTTCCCCCTTCCTTAGTGGGTCAATTGGTGAGGCTTGAGCGCTTATCCATATCTGGGAATTCGTTAACAGCCTTGCCGGCTACTATTGGCAGCTTGCGAAATGTAAGTATTTGTGAGTCTGAATACTCTGATTGTTCTACTGCTTTTGTTATTTTAAATTTGAAGCATTCACTTAATTGTAGAATTTGAGGAGTTGGGGATATTGTTCTCCGTTGTGATCGACTTAAAAGGTTGTTCACTTTGGTAATTGTTGGTATAAATTCAATACATAACCAGACTATGATTAACATCTAAAATATGCTGCACTGTTTGATAATGCAGCTTTCACTTTTAAATGTGGCGAACAACAACTTAGAGTCTCTTCCAGAATCTGTGGGAAGTTGCTTCTCTTTAGAAGAATTACAAGCCAATAGTATGTTTCTGATCTACTTGCTTTCTTCATGCGTTGCATCAGCATTTAATGCAGTTTGTTTGTGCTGGTGTTCTGGAGATGGTTGTTTCCTTTACAGATATGCAGACAATGGAGAGATATATTCTATTGATGTACTCTTTATTTTTATGGTTTTTTTTTCTCATGTTATCCCCCTGTTTCCATCATCTTTCTTAATGATAGCTAGGTTACATGCCACAGGCTAAAAGGTTGTTGATGGGCAGCAAACTAACTTTAAACAGGACAAACATTTTTGGATGAAGTACAATTTACATATACTTGACCATGGGATCTATTTTCAGTTTAGGAACAATTAGCCCAACAAATTAGTTAATCAAGTCCATATTTGAGAAATTTTAACCGCTCTTTGGGCCTAAAATTGATGATGTCCTCAGTTCTGCTTCTCCCTACCTCCTTGTGAACCTTTTACCCCTACAGTTCATATTACGATAATGATTGCAAAGATTATTATAACCTGTCGTATTTCATGAAGATGTCTTAGATGTAACATAATTCTGTGTCCAATATTCTGCTTTTTCCCTACATATTCAATCAATGTGCATATCCATAGGATTGATTCTCATGTCATTAACTGTTTTCATGAGATTCGAATATGGATCTCTGGATCAATTTAACAATTTATGTTTTATTAGCTGTTTGGTTTTGCATCATAGTTGATTGAAGCTTCAATCTTCTTGCCAAATTTTTAGATAATAGTATTGAAGATCTTCCTTCTTCCATGTGCAATCTTACTCACTTGAAGTCACTTTGCCTAGATAACAATAATGTGAAACAGGTAATACTTCTGACTCAGAGTACTTGAAGCCTTGTATGACGTTTGTTAATTGCCTAGTAATCTGCCTATTATCTTATAGGCAGCTAATCTTCGTTGGAGTGCAACCCTTGCAGTGTCTTATGCTTCTTCTTCTTCTTCTTTCTCTTTTCTTTACTTTTATGAATCTATATATAGCGTGTCAATCTATGGTTTTGCTTGTAGCAATTCCCCCTCATGCAGTTGTTACAAACCTAAGAACCGTGTCCTTTGATTTCAAATGTTCTTATGCCTGTTGGGTCTCATTGGCTAGATACCTGCAAATCTATTGAAAGACTGCAAAACTCTTCAAAGTATATCTCTGCACGGCAATCCTATATCTATGGATCAGTTTCAACAGGTAAGGCTTTATTTCCCGAATTTGTTTGCCTCCTTCGTCTCCTACAAACCAACAACTTTGCTCAAGTTTCAATCCAACTACCATTGAACCATCTAGATGGACGGGTTTCAAGAGTTTGAGGCGAGGAGGAGGAAGAAGTTTGACAAGCAAATTGATTCAAACGTGATGATTGGTTCCAAAGGTCTTGATGAAGGTGTGGATTTATAGCCACTTTTGGTAAGGTGATTTTTAAGGTTCATCTCTGGATCAGCTTTGGATGTATGAGATAGAACACAAAGCATTTAGTCTGCTATGCTTTTTATTTCACATTTTAAAAAATGGAGTTCCATTGCCTTCAACTGCAAGTATGCGTGGGTTGGAGCCATTCGTCAACATTGATGAGGTCATGAAGTCCTTTTCATGGCATTCTATTCTGGAAGCTGTAAATTAGTTTGAGCTTTGATGTTAATATAGAAGACAAGGCATTTGTTGGTTCCATAAATTGAATTGGAATGTGTTCATTTCTGGAATTTTCCTTTCCCATATCTTGTTTGCCTGCTGATTCTGGTATATGCTTTGATGATATGTACAAGGCATGATAATCGTATGGTTATCTCCTTATCAAGCAAAATAACAAAAGTTGACTCTTGAACAAATCCAATTAATAGTTTAGTACCATCTTGAAATCTCATCTGTATGTTTAAGATTTCTTTTTGCAGCCAAATAGTCACGATAAAACAATTGGAGATTATATAAAAGATAATGGGACAAAATTAAAAATTAGAATACTATTTCTGATTCTCAATATAAGATCTCGTTTGACTTTTATTTTGGTCTTAAATATAAGACTTTAATTTATTTTATCTCTCATATTTATTTAATTTTTTACGATAGTCTTTTTAATAATGATAGTTCTAACTAATACACTTGATTAGTTATAATATTTTAAAAAAGATAATCTAACTTAATTTATTTTCTTAATCTATTCAAATTAGTCCACTAGTTTTTATATTTATAATCAGAGGTAACATTAATTTTCTTTACAATATTAAAATCATATCCATCTAGAAAAATAAACTTAATACTACTTCCGGTCCTAATTGTAAGAGCTAGTTGACTAATTTGAGAAAATTAAGAAAATTGACTGATTTGAGGAGATTAAGAAAAGAAGTTAAATTAGTTATTTGTCATAAATAAGTGTTGTCTTTTCTAAATTATCTTTGTTAATCAAATATATTGGTTAGAATTACCATTGTTAGAAGGACTATCTTGAAAAAAATACTCCTCCGATTCTTAATATAAGACCCATTTAACTAATTTGATTAGATTAAGGAAGTTAGGTGAGTTAGTTAATTATAAGAAAAATGACACATTTTTCCTAAAACACCATAATCATCTTTCTTAATACCTTATCTTCCTCTTCTACTTGATTATGATTGAAGGAGTATCCATAGGGGTAATTTAGAAAAAATTGATAAATATGAGAAATGAACCTTATATTTAGGATCAAAACCAACTCAAGATCTAGGTCCTATATTAAGGACCAGAGGAGTATATAAATATTAGAGATAAATTGGATTGGGGTCTTATATTTAGGACTAAAATAAAAGTCAAATAAAATCCTATATTAATGATCGAAGGTAGTATCGTTTTGATTAAAGAATCTCAAAAATATAAAAAGAATCTCTTCTCTCTTTTTTTCTCTCTTTCTTTTTTTGGATAACAATGGAACATCTCAACTCATACTGACCCGATCACGAATAGTAGTGCGATCAGAGTCTAAAATAGACAAAAGTTCGGCAGAAACAGAAACAACTAGATGAAAACCACTAAGTGCCAAGAGACGCTGCTTGGCTAAAAAATCCGCAGCTCTGTTGTGCGATAGACTCACGTGCTGGAGTTTCACAGTCCAATCCCATGCCAACATTTCTCGAATCTCTTTAATGACTCCATGGTCAGCATGGTGTTCATCCGCATGGGCTGATATCAGGTTTAAAGCGTTACTGGAGTCAGATTCCAAAACTAGTTTACGGTATCCTCCATCCCATGCAAACTTGAGTCCGAGAAGGCACGCCCACAGTTCTGCATGGAGGGCGTCGCCGCCTTCGAGACGATGAATGAAACCCCGAATGAATCGTCCATCGTCATTGCGGAGAACACCGCCACTTGCACAAGCTGAGGTGCTATGAGAGAAGGCTCCGTCAACGTTCATCTTAATCCACCCGTGTGCCGGAGGTTGCCAAGCCTGTGTCTCCTTGTGGAGGCAGCTACCTGGGATTAAAACACCAGATAGCTCGCATTGTACCTTGCGGAGGTTGCTTAGAATGTCCATGGAGCTAGCAATAACGGCTTCATTGCTAATGGTCTTTTCTTCAAAGACAAAGAGGTTCCGTCGTCGCCAAAGCCACCAGCAGATGGTAGCAAACAAATCCATCCATTCCTTCCCTTGTATCGTGTTAGTAGTAAGGCTTTGTTTGGTTCAATGGAGGGGAAGGGAGGGGAGGTTAATTAAGGGGAGGGGAGGGAAAGGGAAGGGAGGTCACGGATTTTGTTTGGTTGGAGGGGAGGGGAGATTTCTTGTTTGGTTCACAAGGAAAGGAGAGGGGAGGGGATTATAAATTGACAAATATGCCCTTATCTTTATATTTAAACTGATTTATTCTTTTATTATAATATTTATATCAAAATTATTATTTCCTAATTTATCAATTTCAAAAAAAACCAATTACCTCACTTATATATGATAAAAAAAATTATGAAATAAAAGTATAATATATATGAGAAAAGTGAATGGGAGAAAAAAAGACAAGACCTTAACTATATAATAATACCCTTCACATATTAGGAAATAAAAAATATATATGATATTAATAGTGTCATTTTATAATTATAATATATTAACATATATGCATATCATATTTGTGTGTGTGTAACTGAGTGACCGCGAAAGGGAATGCAAAGGTAATCATGCAAAACCAAAAAAATATCAAGAGGACACTACAAGAATATTCAAAAAATGGTATGGGCATATTTGTCAAGATTCTCATAATATTTCTCTCCCCTCTAAAAACCCCCCAATTTAAGAGGGGAGGAGGGGGAGGGGAGGGAGGGGGAGCACAAAAGGACAAGTTTTTTTAGCTCCCTTTCCCTCCCCTCCTCCCAACCAAACACATTCTCCCCTCACCTCCCCTCAAAAAACCCCAACCAAACAAAGCTTAAGGTTCCATCGCCAAACTTTGGTTTGGCATTTTTGTCTGAGAATTTAAACATCCTACCAATAAAAGGAAAGGTCTTTTACGAAGTGGGTAAAAGTATTTGTAGATGGAGTTATTTAAGAGTTTTCGAAACGCTCTCTCTTCACCAATGAAAAAGAAAAGAAAATCCAAAACAAAAAATTATAATTTGTTTTTTGGTAAAAATGATTAAGGTTTTGATTCGGGCCATGTTTCTAATATTTTGTTTCACTTACACAGCAAAGCAAAGTCATCCGGGCGCCCAAAAAAGGACAAAGCAAAGCTATCAATACGTCATTGGGCTTTTTTTTTTTCCTTAAAAAAGAAGAAAAAAGAAAAAAGAAGAAGTGAAAGAGTCGGTTCCAGTTATTTTCATTCAGAAATCAGATCAAGAAAAAAAGTCAACGTAATAACTTATACCCATTTAATACACTAACATGGGTGTCTGAGTTTGTATGTTTTCTTTTTACCATACTACTTCCTGTCCTAATTATAAGAGTTAGTTCACTAATTTAAGAAGATTAAGAAAATAAGTTAAATTAGTTATTTATAACAAATAAGTGTTGTCTTTCCTAAAATATCCTTAGTAATCAAGTGTACTCGCTAGAACTATTATTGTTAGAAAAAACTATCTTGGAAAAAAAATTCATAAATATAAGAGACGAAGTGGATTGAGATCTTATATTTAAGACCAAAATAAAAGTCAAACAAGGTCTTATATTAAAGATCGGAGATAGTATTTTGGATTTGTTATTTGATGAAGATTCTTTATTTATGCAGAGTCATGAGTTCTAATAGCATTTTATTGGGACAAGTTGGTGCTGAAGAATGACAGCGTCTCTTGTGGAATCTTTGCTGCAGCCTGCAGTTAAACATGGTGCATAAGCGTCCGTTCGACGCAGCGAAAATATTTGAGGCGTCTTTTAAAACACCAAAAACAAGAGGAACCTAGCAATCAGCTTCTCTCATTTGCAAAATCTGTTTTCCCTGAGGATGTTTGCTATTTAACTACAATTTCTGGTGCAATTTGCCAATTTAAAATTGTGCTTACGTGGGAGTTTTTTTGCCTGTAATCCATTAAGTTATGAAACCAGTTCTGTTTCATTAACTTTGTTTTGGTGGTCAATCAGCTCAAACTATGACGATTAGATTTCTTGAAAATGTCCTTATTTTCTTTGAAAATGTTATTAACTTGCCCTTTGACTTGTCACGTTTATGTTTGCTGTTTTGACCATTTGTTAGACAAACCTTTTATGAACATAACATTTTGTTTTGTTTTGAATATATTACTTTCCATTTCAATGGTGTTGTCTTCTGAGAGTCAGATTGCCCTGAAATGGGTGGATCTTAAGGATCATCCGATACTAACTTCCATAGTTTTTTCCACTGCCACAAATTGCATTATGATTTTTTCACATTGTGATGTGATTGATAGATGAAGGTGGACGAAGACAAGCTATTACTGATGATAATGACAATGTTGGAAAGGGCCGAACTGATTGTAGCTGTGAAGATGGTGGATTTGTGAGATGTGTCAGATTCCATATTGTGGGAGCAAGAGAAGAACTCATCAAAAGCATTGGGCTAGAGAGCTTGACTGAATTAGGTTTCTCTTACATGGGAGAGCAAGTAGCAGAAAAATGGAGTGCAGAAGATGAACAGATTTTTCATGATGAGTTTGTCTTCAACAATCCATCATCGTTTTGGAACAATATTTCAATTGTTTTTTCCTTCTCGAACAAAAAAGGTGTTGTTGAGTTACTACTTTAAGGTGTTCATGCTTCGAAGGCGGGCAGAGCAGAACAGAAATGACCTTTTGAACATGGACAGTGATAAAGATGAAGACATGGACCGTGTTGTTGATTCTCCTGTCTATCAACATGTTACTGATCTTACGAGCTGCCAGAGAAATGATCTGGAAGATCATGCTGAGTGTGCTGCAGAAGAAACTTTTGACAGTAATGAAATTTTGTCATGTTCAAAAAGTAAAGCTGACCTCTTAC